TAATTACGGTCAGATGAGCATCCAGGGGCCCGCCTTAGGGCCCTTGGTGGGGTCCGGGGGTGGAGCACCCGTAAGCTCTGGGGTTTTAGGCATTTAATTACGGTCAGATGAGCATTTTTTATGCCTTATTTGTGACATTGGCAGGTCACTTATTTTTTCTCTCCGTCTTTCTTTCTTTTTCTCTTTAACATACTTTTTCAAAAAGTGAGGGGGGAGGGGCTCGAGCCCAGCCACTTTGCAGACCATGTCATAAAGGCTTCTAAATAAGCGTATTTTTCGCCCGACTGTAATTTGGGAATTTCTTATTTTCCAACAAACGCATAAAAAGGTATGACTTAAAAAAAAATGGAGAAAAAATACCGGAAAATCATGTCATAACAGCAACATGTGTAAATCACTGGTATCGTATAGATATACCCCCCCCCCCCCATCAGTACGCCAGCGTTCAGGGGCTCATGTCTTCTCACCCCTATAACAAAACCAAAAAAACAGACACGTTTTCCCATTCTCGCACAATATGTCCACGATATGCGCGTATCGCTATATCGCTATTATAAACCGTATAGGTAGCATGCGCAATGTTTATAAAAATTTAATTCCTGTGAACTTTCCTTTTCTTTGAATGGAATGGTATATGTGCTTTAATTCAGGTTTTTATTATTGTTATGTTCTTTTGGGTTAAAAATACAAACCATGTTTATTCCTTTACTGCTTTTTTTTTTTTTTTTTGGAGGGGGGGGGGGGGGCGTTTTGGGGGGGCAAAAATGCGTTTTGCCCCCCCACTTTTTTGACTGGGGGGGCAACTGCCCCCCCTGCCCCCCCACTTCCGGCGCCTATGTGTATGGCGCCATATATCTCTTAAAAAGAACATTCAAAGGCGCGAGCTCCTCCAATAAAATTAGCATTTAAATGTCTGAAGGAAGATGTGAGTTTTGAGTGAAGCTTTGAAGTGGTCCAGGTTGTCAACTTCGCGAATAGATGATGGGAGGGAATTCCACAGGCGAAGAGCAATAGAGGAAAATGCCCGGTCTCCATATCCCTTGAGATGAGTAATGGGCATCTGGAGAGTAAGGCCAGGTTAGCGAAGTCCAGGGCGAAGATGACGCCGCTCGATTAAAGATGACACACATATAACTGTTGCTATGATTTATTAGATTGCTTGAATATTGTCGGTCATGTTTTATAATGGACAGTGCAGTAAGGCATTGGGACAACTCTTGAGTTAACTTCTTGAAAGTAATTTGCAATCATGTTATACCTTGTTGGCAAATTGCTTTTTCAATATTTGTCGACTATAACATAACAGGCCACATAAATCACGTATAAAATCTGAAAAATAGAAATGTAGATTCTAATATCGATACTTCATTATGAGGTGCATAACATGATCTGCGCTAACAAACAAATCCACTGTGCACAAATATTTCAATAAACAAGATCTATACAGGCACAGGCTGATATCACGGTTGTTTATTATTGGATCAAAGTACATTGACTATAATTATATCAATACAATTCTATAAGCAATAACTCCAGATGTCATGCAGAGTCCGAATAGCATATCGGCTAATTTCTAAACAGCTTTGGTGACATTTTCAACACTTTAAGAAAATAATTGTGAGTATGTAATGGGTTTGTTAATAGCTTATTACCCTATAATTTAGGCAGGAGCCATGGCAAACACAACACGTTGTTAGCGTCCAAATTAGCGTTTCATATACACTTTTTTATTGTCTTCGGGACGTTTTAAGAACGTTATGGCCCGAATTCACAAAGGAGGTTTGTCGACAAACCTCCTTTTGTTTCGACAAACCTCCTTTTGTTTTTTACAAACCAAGGTTTGTAAAAACGCGTCGAAACGCGTCGAAACGCGTCGTATGACGTACATAACCTCCTTTGTGAATTCGGGCCTGTGTGTTTGCTGGATTGTTGCACGGCGAAGCGTGACGTGTGTCTGCTCGATGTCATCATATTTATGTTTGGAAGTATTACGTCAGGTTTGACCGAATTTTTCTTTCTATGCAACCGATTTGCTTGTCGGTTGGAATGCTTAATATTACCATTAAGACTTAAAGCCCCACTGCACTACTTGTAGCTACTTGCGCCTTCTATATAATAAACAATGCATAATCGGTGACCTTTACGTCCCCCATGATCCTCTTTTCTTATGTTAATTGAGAGGTGATTTGATGAGATAACCACCCGTCCAGTGACCTTCACTATGAACATGTCTGACAAAGAAAGCGGACAAAAGGGTGATATAATCCCTCCTGTACACTAGTACAGATGGGCTTTAAAGGACACGAGGCCGAGAGCTCTAAAGATCGACGGCGCTGTGGAACCATGACATCATGACTGTATGGTTCTAACATCCATGTGAAATACGTTTCATAGAAATAATAAAATGGTAAAGGTTTTGTGCTGTTTATGAACTGATGATGTGAGGGGTAAAGTGCAATATTAATATATTTTGTATTCAAAATGTACTGATGACGCATTATACTAGGAACCTGGAAGCAACTTCTGCACCAAGCATCGTATGGGTGCCATGTAGTGCGCGTACGGGTTCCAAATGTAATGGACAAGGCTACTGAATTCGCCTAGGATTTATATCTCGAAAGCCTTTGCGATCATCTTTCCAGCCAGAGGCGGCGGAGTGACTTCCAAAGTGAAGGGGGGGGGGGGACACCAACAAAAAGGGCACTTTCTTGAAAAAAAGGGTACCTTTAAAGGGAAATCTCAAAGCGAAAATATACAATTTTTTAGACATTGGTATATACCCTTATATTGTGATTACATTATCAGAGACAGTTTAAATATTTGTTTCTCTTTATACATCATAATGAAATATAGCTTAAGCATCATACTTTGCAGTTGGGTGCGATGGTCTGAAAATTCATTTGCGAGCGAGGAAAATTTTAAAGATTTGTGAGGTGGCAGTGCGAAAAATAACATCTTATAAAGAGGGGGAAAAAACAATCCCTATGGGGTTATACGCACATTCTCATAACGGAAGACTGAATAAACCTTTGATAAGTTACATAATTATAACATCTATAAGTACAAGCGAATGTGGCGAGCGAGCTTTGGGGGAAATTGCTTCTAGTCGCTTGAAATTAGGGGCACGTTTTAATGATGAGAGGAAAAGGGGACACTTATCAGAAAAGAAGCACTTACATGTCACAGTACAAAGGCTAATTATGAGAGGTGAAAATGGGGCACTTCTTACACCTTAAAAAAAGAGGCGCGCATCTGGAATGAAAAGGGATTTTATGAGAATAGGAAATGGGCAATTGTCGACGGGAAAAAGACACCCATCAGATTTTGATAGGAGCATTTAGCATTTAGGAAAGGGGGCACATGTGAAAATATAAGGTGCGCTTATCCACAATAAACACGGGTAGTTTTAAAAGAGGAAGGGGCACTTTTTGCAAAGGAAAAGGGGACCTTATAAAAGCAAAAGGGGAACCTCTCAGATTTGAGTAGGGCAATTGTCAGAGGTGAAGGGGGCGCTTATCAAAAGTGAAAGGGGCGTTTTTCATACCTGAAAAAGTGAACTTAATAGAGATTTAAGAAGGCACTTATGAGAATGGAAAGGGGAAGGGGCACTTTTAGAAATAAATATGGCACTTGTCATAGTAAAAGGGGCACTATGATGTAAAAGGGGCACTTCTTACAAAGTTAAAGGGGCACTTAGTATGTAGAAAGGGGCACTTTTGGGGTACTTGAAAAAGTGGTGGGGGCACTTTGCCCCTTCCCCCCCCCCCCCCCCGAGTGCCACCTCTGTAAGAATTCCCAGCTTACCATACTTTGAGATATAAGTTTTATTTTGTCATACATTAATTGATTTTTTGTTGTTGTTATGTTTATAAGTCAGTCCCAAATTATGCATTTAGACTTTTAGCGGATTAATGCAGAAATTTACAATATCTTTAGGAATGATAATCTGAAAAAATAAGATCTTTTCCAAAAGTTATGTGGATAGCAGGATCGGAATTATGAAGGCACTTTGAAAACCACAGTGCAATCACAGTGACGTCAGACTAGTGCACTGCAGTGGCAAGACTACTTCTGAATTGTAACTGATTTTGTCACCCCCCCCCCCCCACATCTGACTTAAAGATCCCACTTGAATGCATATGATTATTGGAATCTCAATCAAGAATATTATGAAGGCTTGGATTCATATTCAATGATATTGCAAAGTTCTACACAAATCGAATCGTATACGGATCGTATAGTGTACAGTGGGCTTGTACCATTTGTAGTTCCCCCCCAAAAGCATTATGGCGAGATATATACAAATGTATATATATATATAGAGAGAGAGAGAGAGAGAGAGAGAGAGAATGAGGGGAGGGGAAGGGAAAGGGGAGAGTGAGGGGCTGGGTCACATCGCCCTTAAGCTACGCTGGTGGCGATCTGGAGGAAGAGTAAACACTCTTGAAATGGTGCATCAAGCTTAGATCGTAGATTTTTGTCAATCACTTCCAATCCGGACTTTATTGAGTGCTTGGTCAATATGAATTCATTAAAAGCATCCCCCCGATTGTGCAACTGCCGCCCCTAAGAATCAACTAGATTCCAGACCCTACCGAATCTGACAGTGTTTCCTGTGACATCACACCATGAAGATGAATTCGGCAAACCTGAGGGCGGTTGCACAACCACATCCTACAATAGACGATGATTATTATCACCATGCCTTAAGCTCTAGCATTGCTCCAAATTGATTTCACAAAATACCACATTTCAAATCACAGCATAAAATATTATGTTGCTATGTCAGACATATTCTAGCAAATGATTCTCACAGCATTTTAACAATTGTCTGTTCGGGACGAGAAGGGTGTTAACTTTTTTTTTAGTTACTGCTTTTTTGTTGTTCTGAACATAAGAATAAAATTATGTTTGAGTAAAAATGTATTCATTCATGCGTTTATTTAAATCATAACGTTATTCTATTATTACATTTTAAATATGTATTTCTTTTCTTCTAGCGTCAGTACTTCGCAACTTGTGATGGATGACAGTTTGGATGACATTTTGACTGACTTATTTCTGGTGAGATTGTCAAAAAAGATTTCGATTGTGAATGTCACCGCAGTCGACTTCAGCACATACCTGGGATTCACCGCAGCCGAGGGCCAAGCTGCAGCGATGGGGGCCATTAACAGTATGAATCCAAGTAGCTCATACAATACTCTCTTGTCCAAGTTTGTTTTGAGACATGGACGGAAGAGTGAAAGTGCCCAGAATCTAAGAAAGAGATTTCTAAAGAATGGATTGGGGGACTATGCTAATGACATCAAAGCAGGTTTGTAGATTATTATTTAGTATGTTAATTTATAACGGAAACGACCACATAGTGATGATAAAAAAATACTGAGCTAAAAACAAAGTCCATCATGCTTTTTATTCTTCTACATACCCCTTTACAATTTGTATAATTACACCATATTCAAATCTGACAGTTGCCCCTTTTTCTTCAATACATGCCCCTATTCCGTAATAAGAAGTGCCAATTTTCCATTTTTTATTAGTGTCACATCTGATAATTGCCCTTTTGTATTACTTTGACACGCGTCCCCTTTTTCTTTCTAATTTTAATAAGTGCCCTTTTATCTGTTGATATGTGTCCCTTTTCCTTTTCCTTTCTCATAAATGTCCCCTTTTTATGCCTCCGCCACCGAAGGTGGTGCCGGAGGCATCATGTTTTCGGGTTGTCCGTCCGTCCGTACGTCCGTCCCGTTTGACCGTTATCACAATATCTCAAGAACCATTTAAGATTTAAACTTAAGACTCGGGAATAGTATTTATCACCATAGGAAGACGATCTGATTAGATTTTGGAGTACGTAGGTCAAAGGTCACAGGTCACAGAGGTCAACTTATGAAATTCCTTGTATTGAGTTTGTTAGCGCGATATCTCAAGAACCATTTGAGATTTAAACTTCAAACTTAAGGATAGTATGTATCACCATAGGAAGACGATCTGATTAGATTTTGGAGCACGTATGTCAAAGGTCAAGGGTCACAGAGGTCAACTTATGAAATTCCATACATTGAGATTGTTATCATGATATCTCAAGAACCACTGGAGATTTAAACTTCAAACTTAGTGATAGTGTGTATCACTATAGGAAAACAATCTGATTACATTTTGGAGCACGTAGGTCAAAGGTCAAGGGTCATAGAGGTCAACTTATGAAATTCCATACATTGAGATTGTTATCATGATATATCAAGAACCACTGGAGATGTAAAAACTTCAAACTTAAGGATAGTATGTATCACCATAGGAAGACGATCTGATTAGATTTTGGAGCACGTAGGTCAAAGGTCAAGGGTCACAGAGGTCAACTTATGAAATTCCATACATTGAGATTGTTATCATAATATCTCAAGAACCACTGGAGATTTAAACTTCAAACTTAATGATAGTGTGTATCACCATAGGAAGACAATCTGATTAGATTTTGGAGCACGTAGGTCAAAGGTCAAGGGTCACAGAGGTCAACTTATGAAATTCCATACATTGAGATCGTTATCGCGATATCTCAAGAACCACTGGAGAATTTTCACTTCAAACTTAATGATAGTATGTATCACCATATCATAATATCTCAAGAACCACTGGAGATTTAAACTTCAAACTTAATGATAGTGTGTATCACCATAGGAAGACAATCTGATTAGATTTTGGAGCACGTAGGTCAAAGGTCAAGGGTCACAGAGGTCAACTTATGAAATTCCATACATTGAGATTGTTATCATGATATCTCAAGAACCACTGGAGATTTAAACTCCAAACTTGTTTAAATTGCTCTATGGCGGAGGCATCATTTTCGACTGCGCGCAGTCAAAATTCCATCTAGTTTTACCTCTTATAAGCGTCTCTTGAACATGCACCCTTTTTCGTTCTAATGAGGACCCCTTTTCTTTTTTTATAACAGCCCCTTCCCCTTTTCAAAAATGCCACTTTTTACCTTTGATAATTGCCCATATCAAAATCTTATAGGTTCCCTTTTCCTTCGACAAATGCCCATTTTCCATTATCATTAGTGTCATTGTTAATCTCTGGTGTGTGCCCCAGTCAGGTGCGAAAAGAGCCCCATTTTCACCATTGAAAACTATCCTTTTTACCTTGACATATGCTCCTTTTCTTTTATACTGTAATAAGTGTCTTTCTAATAAGTGCTCCTCATTCCTTTTTCCATAACATGTGCCCCTAATTTAAAGCGCCTAAAAGCAACTTTTTCTTTAATCCCCTCCCCCAAAGCTTGCTCGCTACGCTCCCTCACAATAATAGATTGTGGTTAAAACCCCATCAGGATTGGGTTTTTTCCTCTTGTAAAGATGTAATTTTTCGCACTCCGACCTCACAAATCTTGAAAATTGTAATAATTGACATTTTTAAAACTGTATTGGCATCATATTCAAAGAGGGTGAACACAATTATATTAAATATATACCCTTAGAAAAAAGGAAGGAAAGAGAAAAAGACAGACAGAGAGAGAGAGAGGGAGAGTGAGAGAGGGAGAGAGAGAGAGGATGAAAGCGGAGTGCGAAAGAAAACAAATTATAGTTCGAGAGATATAGACAGGAGAGAAAGAAAATCAGTATTTTTTTCATAAACCGTAACAAATATTCTTGTTTCATTTTCTCCAGAATTAGAGAAGTTTATAACTCTTGTCCCGTCAGACGCAGAAACCCTCAATGACTCACCTATATCCCTCCCGAGCCCTCCTTGTGGCACACCAGGTAATCATAATTATTCACAATTTTCTATTCCTTTCACAAGCTTTATGAGACAACCAGAACTTTCCACTATCACAAAAAGGCGATTTGTCGCTTTCAGCCGAGCAATGCAGCAAAGAGTACATAGGCGGGGGCCCGGGCCCCCTCCCTAGGCCCCAAAAATTGTTTTTTTTTTTTTTAAAGATGATAACGTGATTTTTACCTTTAAAAAAGAAGAGACGACCCGCCTTGTAATAAAGAAAGTAGGAAAATGTATATTATTTTGTGTTGTTCCAATAGGGGGGGGGGTGTTGATTAAAACAAATAGAGCTCCATTAGCCCCCCCCCCCCCCCCGTTGAGCAATAACTAAATTAAATAAAAGAGACATGAAGGGAAGAGCAAAAAAAAAAAAAAATTGTCCCGAAATTTGAAAATTGGACCGATTGACATTTCGATCCGTAGGGGGGGGGGGGGGGGGGGGGGGGGTGGTGGGGTAAGGTCACCTTTTTTAGGTCATCCATTAGCATAACCTTTTCCCCTTTTTTTTAATTAAAAAAAAGAAACACTAAAAAAAAATGAGGGGGGGGGGTTGACCCCAACCCCTCCTCCTGCGTACGCGCCTGTGGTGGCAATATGGGCAATGAGGAAACATAATGCGTTATCAGGGAATGTAACAGCTTATTTATCTTATCATCAATAATTTTCTTTTTTTGTACAGATCAAACAGGAAGGGACCTCACAAAATATGTCACAGAGTTGCCAATTAGGGTTTGATTGATCGCAACTACATAATAATAAAAATACATAATTTCTTATTTTTAATCGGAATTTGCTCACTGACTTTTCACTGACCTATTCCTGTCATCTTTCTGCTTCTATTAAAACCAACTTTATATCAGAGTGGACTTTCCCTTTATTCGAACTATCTTCTAAATGTTCTATATATTATTATTTTATGTGAATGGTAGGTGAGGGAGCAGAGGCCGCTGGTGGAACTAAGACTGGTGCAAAGACGAAGTCACCGTGTAAGGTTCCAGCTAACAAGCCTGATGAGGGTACTGACGAGAAAATGGAAACATGAACGTTCATACTTTTGTAATTTTTCATTCACTTTTTTCTTACATAGTGTAGATAACTTCATTCATAGTAGGAAACTCTCTTTCACTTTCCCTTCCCAAATCTAACAATTAAGAAACAAAAAGATAATATGATGTCGTAAAATCCAATCACCTTAGCTAATAACAATGCTATTTTACGTAGTCACACGGTTACAGGGAGAAATTTTTCTGCGCGAATTTGTATTTGTTTGAGGCAATAACTATTCATGCTTGTCATCTAGATATTAGTAAATAAATTGTTGGTATTTTTTTCTGTGCATATTCCGTTTTTTCTATTTAAAAAAAATCCATCAAATGTTGTCGGATACTCCGTCCTCTCCTCTCGAAGCCTGGGCCGGTATTCAATTCAATACTTAGCATAATTAAATGGCTAAGTTAAGTAATTTACTTATCTAGTATTAATAAATGCGCGCTGATATAATTGTGCGCAGGTTATAATACTGCGTAAGAAAATCAAGGCCTCCAAATAATTGGCTTAAGTCTGGTAAGGAGTTGACTTAAATATAGGGTAAAATACTTAGCCAAAAGTTTGAATTAAATACCAGAATTGGCTAAGTATTTTATCTAAGCCTAATACTAGATAAAAAGCTTAAATTCTGTACTTAAGTATTGAATTGAATACGGGCCCTGGTGTATATATATGGCATTTGAATGTTTTTAGTTCAACGTTTTCCTTTTTAAAATTATGTCACATTTATTGTTTTCAATCTGATAATGAAGTAGGCCTTTTGAAAAATTAAAACAATTATATAAAAAATAATTTCTCCATTGCTGCTTATAAGCAGCAATGGAGAAATTATTTTCAATCAAAAGTTTTCATGACTCTAGAACAGTACTGTAAGCTTTGGATCTGTAGTGCTTTTGCGTTTTAACCACAATAATGCACAGAACGTGTGTAAAACATCTGTGGATATTTGTGGATCATTAAATGCTATCTCCAAAGTGTCTTTTTATGACCGTGGTCCACACTTTTTGTGTGTGATTAGACGTAGAGAGCAACCTACATTGATGGCTTATTGTCTCCATTGCATGATTACATGGATCACATCTGTATTCATTCTGTCAGGATCTGCACGGCTTTATATACTAAAACCAAAGCATGATCGACCATTATTAATTTCAAGGTGATTTGAAATCAATGACTCTAATCACCCCCTCCATTTAATCCATACCTTTTGGCGTTTTTGTGTTTTTACAAAAACCAATACGAGTATCGACGATTGGACGGGTAAACCTGCTAGCCCAACATCCGCACCAATGAAACGGCCTACTGCGGTAAGCCCCCAGATTCGAAACATTGTTTAACTCGCATGTTTGTTACACGGCATTTCCTGACAATTTTCGACATACTTTGCAATTAATAAATAGTAAGATTATTAACTAACTTGAAGATATATAATAATGGACAAGCTAATCAAAATGTATTTTTAAAAATGAAATAGATTAAAGTAATGAAGTGTAACAAGCAAAATAGTTCAGGCAAAGATTTTCAAACATCCAACAATTTTTTTTCAGCAGTATTAACAAAACGGAATGCTACAAGGGAATGGGGCTAATGCAGATCCTTGTTGTAATGTTGTGTTGTTGCTATGATCATAGGCTCCAAATTCCGTACATTTGATCGGTTTAGGGTATATGTCTGCCCAAATTGAAAAGCTTTGGAGCCGGAGTACATTCTTTTTGTCATTGCTTAACCAGTCTTTACCCATGTCATTCAGACGTAGTTCATTTATTTATGTGCTTTACAGTGTAAAAAACACAAAAACATGTAGTCATCTGTAGAAATTAAATTTGAGAATTTACATAATTTGCATGGTGTCGTTGCATATTTCTTGTTTAACCTTGTTAAGTACACATTGAAATTTACATTCTTCATCTTCTCCACCTTCTCCTTCTTTCTTCATCATCATCTTCTTCTTCTTTGTCTTCTTTTTTCTATTTCTTCTTCTTCTTCTTCTTCTTCTTCTTCTTCTTCTTCTTCTTCTTCTTCATCTTCTTCTTCTTCTTCTTCTTCATCTTCTTCTTCTTCTTCTTCTTCTGTGTGTGTGTGTGGGGGGGGGGAGTTATTGGGGATATTACAAATGTAAAGATAAAAAAATAAGCATAAACTTTTGTCAGAGCAAGGATCACAACACTTATCAGGAAACACAAAGACTTTCAAAATAATTTTATCCGTCCCAAACTCAGACAACAATAGCATACGAATGCCGTCTGTTCTTTGTCCGGCTAACCCAAACGCAAAAGAATGGAACGTTCGTTTAATTTTCAAAGCTCCCTGTTTACAATGAGCTGCCTAACTATTTTTAAAAAAATTTACTATCTTTCCGGATTCCACAATATTTTTCATCGTCTCTGTTATAAGGGGATCATAGGCCTATATGCAAGTTTTTATTGTGTTGCATTCCAAATTTATTGTGGTCTCTCCATCTCTCTCTTTTTCCCTCTTTCTCTCTCCCTCTCTCTCCCCCTCTCTCTCTCTCTCTCTTTCTCCCTCTCTCTCCCTCCCCTCTCTCTCAAATTTCTTCCTTTCTCTATATGTTTCCCAAGTTCTCTGCTTCGTCTTCCTTATACATGTATCATGTATAAGTCTGTATGTGTGTGTGCGTGTTTTTTTTAGGGGGATGGTCGTGCGTTTTGTTTGGGTTTGGTAGTAAGGCAGTGGCGTGATGAGCAAAAACGTTTTTTTTTTTTTTTTTTTTTTTTTTGGGGGGGGGGGGGGGAGACAAAAACTCCTCATCACCCCCACTCGTACATGCAGGCCCTGCAGAACGTTTTTCAAAGTGGGGTCTAGGGGCAAAGCCACGGCGGGGGTCAAGGGGCGGAGCCCCCGAAGCTCAAGGGGTATGGGCATCAAATTTCTTCCCGGGGGGGGGGGGTGGCACAAATGGCAGGGGTGAAATATATGTACAACGATGAAGCGACAGAGCGAGGCTTTTAGCGGCGAGGGATCGGAACGACCAAGCGGGGGTGGGTCTTGGAGGGGGTTCTGACCGCCTCCCCGAGTAGGAAGCATTTGCAATTTTAGAACCACATTAGACGCATTTTCAGCCACTCCCTGGAGTAATAATCATGACGTAAAATTGCTTTCTTCTTCCCCCTCCAAGAGAAGGGATCCTTTGCAAATTGAGAACCACATTTGGCGCATTAATGTCCACTGGCACTTTCTGGGGAAAAACGAGGCCTTCTGATTGGTTAGAAGTTAGATAAAGTGATCTGTAACATCGTGCTTCGTTACTGCATAATGCACAAAGACGGTGGTCCGGTACTTCACCAATAGTACTTGCAAAAAATATATCGTGTGTATAAACTGTGTTGTTATCAGGGGCGTAGCTAGACCTTTTTTAGTGGAGAAGGGGGGGGGGGGTAGACTGTTGAGGCTACCGATTACCGACAAAACTAGCCACCAATTACCGACAAATATATTAATGCCAATGTCCCAATGTACATAAATATAACCCTAAACTCCGGAGCCAGAAACTAAGTTTTTTTTCAGTTCCCCCCTCCCTCCCGCGCGAAGCGCGGAAGCTTTGACACTTCATTAAATTATTAGAGAAAGAAGACGATTCGTTGTACCGTTTCGACCCTTAATTCTTGTTTCGCCCCTCCCGCGCGAAACGCAGAAGCTATGACGTTTCATTCAATTTTTACTCTTAATCCTTGTCTGGATTCGATTCCGCCAATCCCGCGCGAAGCGCGGAAGCTTTCACGTTTCATTTAATTATTCATATTGCTCCGGCACAAACGTAGCTAGTTCGCCGTCTACAGAACGTATATAGCAGACGGCAATCGGCGGATCAGACGACACTTGATAGTGATTTTGTATGTGAGATTGCTTTGCTACATATAATATACAAGAACCTTTTACATATCTTTAAATTATCATTGATATCTGATAATTAAACAGTTAATAAAATAAACCTACCAAACTACATAATACAATGAAATACTTGACTGAAAGTAGGGGAGTTTGATGTGGTGGTGTCTTAATCGAATAGTCATGGTGTGTCATGAATATTCATGTTTTTGCTTACCTTGCCAAAATGTTTGCCTATACTAAATGGAAAAATTACGGTGGGGGGTTGGCTGAAGTGGACATAAGGAACCAAGCAGAACTGATCTATGATAATTCATGCTCCTTATCCTTCGTGTGCTTGACCTATTATCTTTCAATTGCGTGGTAAATTGCGTCCAAAGTTCGACTTGTTACACATGCGTTATATATGCAATGGCGGGGTTAAAAAACCGCTCAAAATCGGCACGGCGACTGCTCGGTCACCGTACGATTTCCGTGCGGAGTCTGCGAAGACTGTACGGCTACTGCACTGAAATTGCACGATTTCCGTACAATCTCCGAGCAGCCTTTGTACGGATTGCCCCAGCCTGCCATACAGAATACAGGAAATGTAAACATAATGTACATAATGTAAACACAAACATCGTAGCCCGTAGCCTCTTACGATTCCCCCCAAATCGTACGAAAAATCGTAGACTAATTTAACGTAGGGCACCCGGGTCAAATGTAATCCAGGCATAAAGCCTAAGTCACATTTGCTCTAGGGCTAGGATACGGCGGCCGTAGGCCCCCGAAACCGAGAGATACCTGCGGCGACCGCAGAGGATCTTCGTTGGCCTCAGTGTCACTCTAGGGCGTTTCCCTATCTTTACAGGCCGTACGGGTCGCCGTGGGATTATAACCGGGAGTTATAACCTTTTTCAGTTCTAGGTTTACCGTATCAATTAGATAATAAGACACACCGTAGCCATGCCGTAGAGCGGTTCCACGGCGACCATACGTCGGGCGTACGGTGGCATTGCGGCTACCTTTCGTCTGCCTTGGTATTTGTCAAAAACTGTACGGCCGCCGCAGGGACGCTCTAAGGCGACCGTGCGTCATCACGTCAAAGGCCGTACGGAAGCCGCAGGTTTTCTGTCTCTACAAATTCAAAATACGCCGTGCGTCTACCCTAACTTATACCTGGATTACATTTGGCCCGGGCGCCGCACGATAAATTGGTCTACGATTTTTCGTGCGATTTTGGGGGCATCGTAGGAGGCTACGGGCTACGATGTTTGTGTTTACATTATCTACGAGCATCGTGCCATTTCTTGTATTGGCCCTCGGAGGAGACCGGGACACATCCGTACTGAGGCTGCTCGGAGATTGTACGGAAATCGTGCAATTTCAGTGCAACACCCGTGCAGTCTCTGCAACCTCCGCACGGAAATCGTACGGAGCTCGTACAGCTTCCGTGCAGAGGTTGCGCGGAGAAGGTGCGGTGACCGTGCAGCCTCCGTGCCGTTTTTCGGCGTCTGTTGCACCCATGTTCACTGAAAAATCATGCGTTTGCTGCACGATCAGCGTGAGGCCTCCACGCAATGCCCGTGCGGGGATTGTGCAATGCCACCTACGACATGTCTACGGGCTACGGGCTTTCGATTTTTCAAATTTGTTTAACTCCCCGCGAAACTAAATCGTAGTTGCCGCGGAGCCCGTGAATCCGTACGAAAATCTCACGGCCGCCTCCTGCCTCCCCACGGAGGCCGCACGGAAAAGGGGATACGGGCAGGATACGGGCCCCGTAGACTAATCGCAAGCGACATGTAATCCAGGCAGTATGCGACTGCAGCATGCTACCGTATGTGACCGTGGGAATGTTGCGGTTGCCCTATAAATGCTAATGGCCGTATATATTTAGACCCCACGGCCGCCGCGGCTAGGCATTAGGGATATCGTTTGGGTTAAAATAATGATGCAAACCCATCTTTTATCAACCTATCGTTGGCTCATGGACCTACTACAAATGGACACTGATCCATTCTATAATACATTCATGCACCTGACTCTGTCAAAAGTATCATAATGACATTCCAAACATGCTTCAAAGTTTTGATCTCATCACGACCGCCGCTAGCCTTTAAACAATTGCCACATGTCTGATAGACGCCGAGCGACTAAAAAGAGACTAATCGCGAAAATCTCAGTGAACGCCAGTGCGAATTGCCCAGACAAGT